GCAATCTACAGTGGTTGGAACTTCAAACCCACTCTTGCCATTTGGAAGGGCTCCACTGCCTGGTACACCAGCAGAGACGAAAGCAGGCTTGTTTTCTCTCTGGAGGAGAGACGGTCTCCGATGAGTTCCTTCCCCGGCCACACAAGGCGATCCCGGAGCCCCGGTGCATCGAGTGTTGTTCTGCTGACACAAAGGCCACATCTCCCAGGGGGCTTCACCTCTACCAGGGACCCCGAGGAAAAGAGAAGGGCAACCTCCTGTCTTCTTCTTGGAATTTTTTCTCCAACAAAATTTTTTATTTTAATTGTGATTTAAACAAAAGTTTACAGAAAATTTAGATTTTTATTCATTCATCATGGCACATTTTACCCCTCTCCCACTTCACTTTTTAAAAAAATATTCATTCAGTGGATGAATGGAAATCCAAAGTCTCTGTAAACTCTCATTAAAATAAAAAAAAATATTGATTCATTGTTGCACAGTTACCTCCCTCCCTCCCTCCCTCCCTCCAGTCCTCTCTGCAGTGTACCTCCTATTCTAGACTACACACCCATGTTTATTGCTGTGTTACTGACGGTACATAGCAGAGGTGGAAGCAAAAGTGCCCATCCACAAACGAATGGATAAACAAACTATGGTATGTTCATACAATGGAATACTAGGCAGCACTGAAAAACAGTGAACTCATAAAACATTACACAACATGGGAGGCCCTGGAGGACATTATGCTCAGTGATATATCCTCATTACAAAAGGACAAATACTGCATAGCACTGTTGCTATAAAGCAGGTCAGACATGGGGGGCTGGGAGGAGAGTAGGGTAGGACCACTGCCTGGAACAGATGTAGTAGAACACTGTCTAGAAGGAACATACGATGAGGCGTCACGCGTACAGCAACAGCAGTCCCCTTTCTCTGAGCCTGCAGCCTCAGAAAACTAACGGAGGGTCAGCTCTGCGTCGGCTTCAAATAGAAGGCAGTGAGTCAGTGTGCAGCTGACACAGAGGCTCCTCAGTGGGACTAGAATTTGCCTCGTTGCTGGTGCTGGAATGTTCCAGCTTCAGGGCAGGGGAGCTCCAGACCCAGCCATTCCTGACGCTGAGTCTGTTCTTGCCCTGTTTCTCCAGAGCCTGGCTTCTCAGGACACGTGCCAGGATGAAGTGAGGGCAGCCTCAGCCAGACGGGGAGAAAGGTCTCCTCCACGGAGCCTGGAGTCGGGGTGAACTGCACCCACACTCCACCCCAGGG